AATATCCTCGAATTTTAAAAATTTCAATACAGCAAATTTTTCGTTTGTGTCACCTATTTTTTTCAAGTAGGTCATTGTCCGTACAACTCTCTTTTGTGCAGTAACCAGAGATTGTGTTTTTGAAGAGCCAGAGGTCCCCTATAGTGTGTGACAGTGTATCAGGTGTTGGTAAACAAGATCATGATAAATTTCTTTCATTGCTGTGAGAGTGAGTGACTGTCGAGTGTGATACACTGTTTATTGATTTTACTGTGGATGGCTTGTATGTGGTTTCTCCAGTTTAGTTTCTCATCAACAATAACTCCGAGGAATTTAGTATTTTGTTCGCTTTTGAGGACTATATTACAAAGGTACAGGGAGTTCAAGTCTAGGGGTAAGTTTTTTTTCCCTGAAAAATCGTATAGTGGGTTTTCTCAAGGTTTAAGGTCAGTTTATTACGTATTACCCAGGTCCCGATTTTAGTTAATTCAGTGTTCACAGTTCTCATCAAGGAATGGAGGTCTGAGTTGCTGGCATAGAGATTACTATCATCTGCAAATAAGTTGTATTTTATGAGTGTGCTGGCGTGGACTATGTCGTTTATGTACAACAACAACAGTACTGGACCGAGAATTGAACCTTGGGGGACTCCATACAAGATTGGCGAGGAGTCAGATTGGTGGTTATTATAACAGACATACTGCATCCTGCTGGACAGATATGAGGTAAACCAATTGACGGACAGGCCCCTAACGCCGTGATGTTCAAGCTTTGAAAGGAGGATGGTATGGTTGACAGTATCGAAGGCTTTAGAGAGGTCCAAGAATATACCGACTGTGAACTGACTTTTATCAAAGGAATTTAAGATGTCATTAGTAAAGGATAGCAGAGCACTCTCAGTCGACCTTCTAGCTCTAAATCCAAACTGGGAGTCTGTAAAGATGTTATTGGCATTGCAGAAGGAATTTAGTCTATTACATGCTAGCTTTTCCAGTATCTTACTTAAGGCTGGGAGGACTGATATGGGGCGGTAATTCTTGAAGAGACCTTTGTCCCCAGATTTTTTATATGCCGGGTGGACTTTAGCCATTTTCAGTTTATCAGGAAAGACACCACTAGTGAAGGAGGAGTTACAAATGTGGAGGAGAACAGGTAGTAATAAGTGGGCTACTTTCTTAATGATGCTCATTGGTATATTGTCTTCGCCTGCTGCTGCATCTTTGGACATTTTAATGGTGGCCAGTAATTCATCTGCTGTGACAGGGGTTAAGAATAGTTCATTTTGCTGTCTGTTTTGCAGGTAGGCTCTAAATTCCTCATGGTGAACAGGGATGCTCTCTGCAAGATTTTTGCCAACATTAATAAAATATTCATTGATGTGGTTGGCAATGAGGGAGGGTTCCGTTATAACTGAATCGCTTATCATAAAAGCTGAGTGGGAGGCCGAAGGCTGAGTGTTCCTGTTCTGAATAGAATTTATGACATTGCAGGTTTTCTTACTGTCGCCTGATGCTGACTGGAGCTTATTTGTATAATAGTTACATCTGTCATTTCTAACTGCTTGAGTTACTCTATTTCTGATACTTCGGTAAGCATCACCGAAAGTTATGGGTCTTTTTACAAATTTCTTTTGGAGTTTGTTTTTTTCCTTTATCATTGTCTTAATTTCGCTTGTGATATAGGGTTTGGAAATAGATACAGTTTTGACTGACTTAGTCTTGAACGGGAAGCATTTATCAAAGCAAGCATTGAAGATGCAAGAGAAGTTACAGCTGTTCACGTTAGGGTTGTTGGAGGCATAGACAAGATCCCAGTTAGCATTCATTAGGTTGTTTTAAAAAAGGAGCATGTTGTCGGTGCAGTAGTCTCCGTATTGTACTGGGACTCTACTAGACCTTTCAGGTCTTGTGGCTGTTTTATACATGGCAAAAACTGGGAAGTGATCTGAGATATTGTTATTAATAATTCCACTTGCTAGGTTGTTAGGAGTGTTGTTAGTCCAGATATGATCTATCACAGTGGCAGAGGTGGCAGTTACTCTAGTGGGTTTGGTTATAGTGTTGAAGAAGAGTTTAGAATGACAGGTAGCAAGAAGGTCTAATACTGAGGTGTCGGTTTCTGATTTTAATAGATCAAGGTTGAAATCTGCTGTGATGTAGCAATGTTTCCTCTCTGAACTTATGATAGAGATAAGCTCCGAAAATTTATCAAGAAAATTCCTTATATTAGTGTGGGGTCTTCTGTAGATTACTCCTACGAGGATATTTCATGTGTCGTTACGTAATTCAGTGAAAACACTCTCCATGTGCTCCTCCTGAACCTTTAAATCATCTCTTACAGAAGTGTTATACTTGATATCAACATATAGGGCGACACCACCACTGTGTCGTGACGTGTTGACGCAGTGTCTATTATAATTAGGAATGTTATATAAATGGTCAATATCGTCAGTGAGTTTGGTCTCACAGAATACAAGTACATCAAATTTGTGGGCAATAGAAGATAAACACTGATCTAAAAAGGTATCTAGATGAAGGGGAATACTGCTGATGTTATGGCTAATTAAGGAGAAGGAATGAGGTAGTAGGAGACCAGAACTAAACTCGGGGGAGTCAAGAAAGTACTAGGTACAGTTGGGGTTGGTGTAACCCAGTGAGTTGTGTAGAAAGGCATCAGGATCGATATGAGGGAGTATTGTGTCGACACCATGGGTAAAGGGGGTGTAACACATACGATCTAGCACATCTAAGGGAATGACACTAGCATCATTATTGTGGGGACATTGATACTGATTAAGGAACAGTAAAAACTCAGGGTCACTGAGGTGTGAAAAGGAGGATATAAACTAACAACAGGTTCAGAGTGCAGCGTTATTGGTATTGTGAATACCTGTCGAAGTTTCAACACCCACACTGCACCAGAACATTCAGTTGAACACAAGTAATGATTTATTATTGATCACATACCTATTTTTACACATAATCTCCCTCTACAGTTGCTTACTTGTTTTACCTTCTATGCGTTTTTTTTTATTCCTGTGGTGAAAAATTCTTTCGGCTGACACCGTAACCAATTTTGGATTTCTTTCTTGATCTTTTCATAATTCAAAAAACTCTTTCCACGTAATGTTGTTTTGAGCGGACCAAATATATGGTAGTCTGAAGGTGCGAGATCAACGTTTGGAGGCTGCGGCCCACTGATCTGATGAGGGAGGATCACTCGTGTGGCCCACTAGGTGGCGGCACACTGGGCACTTTCCTCCAAACATGTTGCCCGTTTTGCTGGCCGTTGGCCTAAACGCCCTGCAAATAGCAGGATTACGACTGTTGCTACAAATGGACAAGGGTTTGGTGGGGATCTTTGCTGGTCCGGATTAGTACTCAAATGAGTTTTATACAATTTCAAGTAAATATCTAAATAAATCCGGAAACAATGATAATTTAAAACATAACACATAAACGGTGACATATTTCTATTTATTCGTCACTCTAAAACTTCTTTAGCATTATTAAATCATTATTCAGGGTCTTCTTTGATCATCCATCCGCCGCTACTTTTAAAAAACTTCTCGACACACCCATTGTCTTTATTTTTTGTTTAGTATTTGCAGACGCCTCACTTACTTCAGTAGTTGAAGAACTGTAGCACAATCCTGCAAGGCCTCACCTGTAGTAACGGGTCCATGGCGAACCTCGTCTAGACGCTTAGTGTATGTATGTATGTATGTATGTATGTATGTATGTATGTATGTGTGTATGTATGTATGTATGTATGTATGTATGTATGTATGTATGTATGTATGTATGTGTGTATGTGTATGCATGCATGCATGCATGTATGTATGTATGTATGTATGAATGTATGCATGTATGTATGTATGTATGTATGTATGTGTGAGTGTGTGTGTGCGTGCATGCGTCCATCCATCCATCCATCCATCCATCCATCCATCTCTATCTATCTATCTATCTATCTATCTATCCATCCATCCATCCATCCATCCATCCATCCATCCATCCATCCATCTATCTATCTATCTATCTATCTATCTATCTATCTATCTATCTATCTATCTATCTATCTATCTATCTATCTATCTATCTATCTATCTATCTATCTATCTATCTATCTATCTATCTATCTATCTATCTATCTATCTATCTATCTATCTATCTATCTAGGGAAGCACCAGGCTCTGTTGTACGGTAAACGACAAAGTCCTCAGGGAAACACACAAAGCCGTAATTTTCCCGCCATAAAGTAAGAGGTGAGGTGTAGATCATCCTCATGATGACTACCTCGCCCTCTGGTGACGGTCCCTGGCACCAGTAAACAATGCGGTCACTTTTCTCTTGTGGCTCTCTTCATTGTGTAAAGAGGTCGGAGGTTTTCTCTTGGTGATTCTAGCAGAGGACTTGTGGTAATAAAGGCCATCACATCTTAATTACAGTAGAATTATGAAAACACACACACACACACACTCACCAATCAGTCATCTCTCGTGTTGTAGTCCCCAGGTGAAGTCAAGCACCAACTCAGTATATCTCGAGGTTCTTTCAACAGTTTCGTGTAGGGTAAGTCAACATGCTGGGTGTTGTTGTTATAACACTCTCCTGTCTCCAAGGAAGTGTCTAGAGGGAGGGTTCAGGGGGTGGGTTGAGAAGAAGGGTTCAGGGGGAGGAATCAGAAGAGGAGGGTTTAAGGGTGGGTCAAAGGGGAAGGCTTAGAGGGTGGGTCGAGGGGTATGGGGTGGGTGTGACCAACAAGCATTCCGAAGCATTCAGGGAATTTTGTCTGCAACTGTAAATTTCTCGTATTTTACAGCAGTACGTAACAAAGAACAGACTGACAGGAGGCGAAGAATATAAACAAAAGAAAAAAATGAAAAGAGAATTCATGGAAAATAATTTAGACGCAGATAAAACAATAAGGAAGTGACCAGCAGTGTGAGTGATTACGGTAATAGGAGGAGAGGGGGAGCACCAGTAACGTAGTCTGAGCTGCCTGATCATCACCCCGTACAGTAGAACAGGTACTCGGGTACACTGCACACTTAGCTGGCTAGTGTCGTTCACAGCAGACGCTCGCCCACTGTCAGTTCGTGTCACATCATCCTCAAGTGCACTTCACCCTTCATACCTGCCGTCAAAGCTTGTGATAACCGTCGGTGTGCAGACATACCTGGTTACCATGGCTGCCAGACTTGTTGCTACACTGGTTATGGTGGCGTTGGCGGCTGCTGTGCTGCCTGGGAACAACACCGTCACGTCTCTCCTACCTTCCTCTTGGGTCGCCAGGTTTTTCTTCAGTAAGTTCCTACACACTACGTCCGGTTCTCTTCTCGGAGGTTGCTGAAGCATATTGGAGAAAATTGAATCGCTATGAACATAATAATTACTCAGTGTTAATGTGTCTTGTTAATCTGTTGGTGGTGTTAGTTTTATATTTATTAATTTACCGTTTTAACGAGAACGGAGACCGGTGGCTTGTTTAACCCCTATGTTACTCCTCGTGAATCAGATCACTAAATATTCTGCGACTGAAATATATTAATATAAATGAACATAATGATCGAGTAAGAATGTGGTAATTGCTGAATTTATCGTGACATTGTGAGACAAGAAAATCTCAAACTAAAGTGATGAGATTGTCTTCATAAAATAACATGGTGCAACATTGTTTCTCCCTAGCCCCCCAGTTCATGGACCCCCTCCCCTTCCCACTCCGTCGCCTTACGTCACACCACCACCACCGTCATCAAACTTTTATCAGATAGTAGGTAATGACGTTAGGGGTATTTGGTAAATAGAATATAACAAGTGATCATGGGCTCTTCGTGCCCGGTGGCGAGTCCGGTGGTACAGTTTACCAAAGCTTGAAAGTTCGAACGCTCGTGCTTGGCTAGCGAGCAACCGCCGGAAGGCTGGCAGCGTACAGCGACATTGTTTTCCAGCGTAAATAAAATGGTTAATTAATGCCTTCCTAAAGAAACCATCGACATGGGACCAGGTTTGTTCCACTCTAAGATTTTTTTTGCGATTTTTCCACCAAGTTTGATGAAAAACGATTGTGCCGTTTCGGCTGCCCAGAACATGGTCGTGGTTGTTATAATCATGGTCGTGGTTGTTCTAATCATGGTCGTGGTTGTTATAATCATGGTCGTGGTTGTTATAATCATGATCGTGGTTGTTATAATCATGGTCGTGGTTGTTATAATCATGGTCGTGGTTGTTCTAATCATGGTCGTGGTTGTTATAATCATGGTCGTGGTTGTTATAACCATGGTCGTGGTTGTTATAATCATGGTCGTAGTTGTTCTCATCATGATCGTGGTTGTTATAATCATGGACGTGGGTGTTATAATCATGGACGTGGGTGTTACAATCATAGTCGTTGTTGTTATAATCATAGTCGTGGTTATTATAATCATAGTCGTGGTTGTTATAATCATAATCGTGGTTGTTATACTCATGGTCGTGGTTGTTATAATCATAGTCGTGGTTGTTATAATCATAGTCGTAGGTTTATAATCATGGTCGTGGGTGTTATAATCATAGTCGTGGTTGTTATAATCATGGTCGTAGGTGTTATAATCATGGTCGTGGTTGTTCTAATCATGGTCGTGGTTGTTATAATCATGGACGTGGGTGTTACAATCATAGTCGTTGTTGTTATAATCATAGTCGTGATTATTATAATCATAGTCGTGGTTGTTATAATCATAGTCGTGGTTGTTATAATCAATTGTCGTGGTTGTTATAATCATGGTCGTGGTTGTTATAATCATGGTCGTGGGTGTTATAATCATGGTCGTGGTTGTTATTATCATGGTCGTGGGTGTTATAATCATGGCCGTGGTTGTTATAATCATAGTCGTGGTTGTTATAATCATGGACGTGGTTGTTATAATCATGGTCGTGGTTGTTATACTTATGGTCGTGGTTGTTATAATCATGGTCGTGGTTGTTATAATTATGGTCGTGGTTGTTACAATTGTTCAATGTTCTGGGTAATAAGTTCAATATACAAGAGCGAACACAAACACCTGTATAGTTTTGTAGGTTCGATTTACTGGATAAGAGATATGTATACAAGGGGAGTACCGCTCCTCAACTTGGCTGCTTGTCAACTGCTCTATAGACGACGCATGGCAAGTGATACATTAGCAGCTTCCATACGTCGCCAGGCACATTAATTAAGCATGTGGGACATCTTAAATACATTGCCACACACTGCTAGCTAGGCTGAATAAATAGTACATAAATGGAGCACATACATAATATACATACATAATATATAATACAGCATACATAATATACATACACCTCCCTCCCCCCTATACGCTCATAGCAAAGTCTTGAGCGGACCTTTTCTTTTGGATCCGTTCTGAGCGTCGAGGGACTAGATCACTGGGAAGGGTATGGGACTCAACACTGGTGGCGGGGTCAGCAGAAGGCATTGTTACGGGGCGGAGAAAACGGCGGTTCCTCCACCACACACGACCACTGGGTAACCGCACCTGGTAGTCCCGTGACCTACCGAGACCCATGACTACGCCTACTTTGTCCCAACGTAGGGAGGTCGGGTCCTGAACACGGACTTGGGTGCCGACACTCAACCTGGGGAGAGAACGGGCGTGGTCGTTGTAGCGGGCGACGACGTCCTGAACACGTTCGGCGGCTCGGCGATCACAATCCTCTGTCTTGGCCTGCCACTCCTTGGAGAAGGATTGAGGGTGAGCAGGGACACAAGAACGAAGGGGGCGTCCATACAAAACCTGGGCAGGGGAGCGTCCGGTGTAGTTCGGTGTGTTGCGGAGTTCAAGAAGACCCCGGTCGAAGGCCTCGTAGTCAATGTTCCCAGAAGGGGCCACCTGAAGGATGAGGTGCTTCAGGGATTTGACAGCAGCCTCAGCGTGGCCGTTGGACTGCGGGTAATGGGGCGATGACAACACATGCCGGACTCCCCATCGGTTAAGGAACACAGCAAAGTCCCGGCTTGTGAACTGAGGCCCTCCGTCGGTTCTCAGGCGTATAGGAACGCCCACGTCACGGAAGTAGTGGCGGAACTTGCTGATGGTGGCGGCAGACGTCGTGTCATTACCGCACTTGATGACAACCGGCCAACCAGAGAGACGGTCGATGATAACAAGGAAGGACTTTCCTGAAACAGAGAAAAAGTCGGCTGACACAGACTCAAAGGGGCGGGTGGGGTTGTCATCACTCATGAAGGGTTCCTGCTGCTGGCTGGGTTGTAATACTTGGCAGGGCTCACACGCACGGACAACATTGGAGATGTCGGAGTTGATGCCGGGCCAGAACACAGTCTGTCGTGCACGTCGTTTGGTGGCCTCAGCTCCACGGTGACTGTCGTGAAGGCGAGCCAAGGCGTGGGTACGTGATGCAGCAGGGACAACTACCGAAGGAGAGGTGTCACTGGCCAGAGGTAGGGGTAGGGCGGCAGCAAGGTAGTTGCTGCTCCCTTCGTGCACCCTGTTGGCGTATTTTACCTCCAGAATCGGTGTTGGGAAGTCCTGGGAGATGATGGCCAACTCTTGGCAATGTCTGTAGGACAGCAAAGGAGTCGGGACACCATTATGCACGTCAATCCAGGCTTGACACGACCTGTTGCCAAAGGTGACATGTGCATAGAGTGAACCTAGGGCTGGGGCCATCTGTGAACCATCTGCCGTGACGCAGAGGTCCTTGGGAGGCGGTCCTAGATCGCTTGGAGAGAGCCCCAAGCATTGCAAATGCTGGGGACCGATGACTGTAGCATCAGCGCCGGTGTCAGGCAACATCTGAAGACGGGATGACACACTGCCACAGGTCACGATGACACTGATGTACTGGGGAACTTTGGTCCTGGGATGCGAGGAGTACACCCTCCTAATATGGGTCGGGCTTTGTCCAGGGTCGTCGTGCCTCTGATTTGGCGACTGTGGGTGGCCCTCACTGGTAGAAGGGCGCTGAAGCTTCCGCCGACGCTGTCCCTTGGGTTTGTGGGTAGGGCAACACTTGTCATAGTTGCCCAGACGACCGCACACATTGCACTGTATGTACTTAGCTGGGCACCGCACTGTGAGCGACCAGTGGCCCTTACGGTCACAACTGTTGCAGGTAGACTGAGCAGCTGGACACACCTGTGTTCCGTGCTGCTTACCACAGTTGTTACAAAATGAACCGGGCGTGGACGTGGTGGGCGAAGGCGTAGGAGCAGACTTCTTGTCCTTCTTGTACCGGGACACAGCGCGTACAGCTGTAGGGGGAGCTCGGATGGCAGAGGTGGCACACCTGGCAGCCTCATAGGAGCGACATATCGTCAACATATCCTGAAGAGAAGAGGAAGAGTCGAGGGAGGTGAGGCGTTGGACAAGCTCCTCGTCCTTAACACCCATCAGGATCACCTGCTTCACCTGGGTCTCCTCGTACTGCTGGTGGTGGCCTAGACATATATCTACCTCTTCCGAGGCTCTCTTAAGACGTACATAAAATGCGTCAAAAGTCTCACCCTCCATCTGTCTGCAGCTAAACAATTCCCTCCTGCGCAGAGCTTCATTCTGCTGTCCTTTGATGTGCCGTTGTAGAATGTCGAGTACCTCCTCTACAGACAGCGAAGAGGTCGGAGGTACCTGCAACGTATGTTCTAAGACACGCTGAATTTCCAAGGACAGGCACATACGCAGCTGGATGAGTTGTTTAGGCTGTGACAAACTCTGGAGATCCACCATTGTAGAATAATCAGTCCACCGTCGCCGCCATTCACGAAAAGTCTGGAAAGTCACATCAGGCTTCAAGATGGGCGGTGTTTGAGCAGCTGCTTTAGGTGGGGCTGGGGGGCGTGAAGGAAGCATTGATGAGGTATCTGAACCAGTCAGTACCGAGGCAGTGTTAGAGCCAGGGGCTTGGTTAACAGTGAGGCGAGATATCAAGGCTTCAAACCGTGCACTGTCTTCCAATCTCCGTTGGTGGTCTCTCTCTGCCTCTGCTTGCCTTCTGTGTTCATCCGCCACACGTCTGTTAGCTTCATCCTCGCGCCTTTCATCTCTCATAAACTTCATTAAAGCAATTATCTCTGGAGACAACGCTGAATATCGAGGTGAAGGGCTGCGCGATGTTGTGGGATCTGGAGCGTCATGGTCAGCCTGGTCATCCATCTCTGCGGGGCTATCATCCGACTGACTCATCCAGACGCTGGGTCCACGGCTACGTAAGGCACGAGACATAACTACTTCATCTGTGTACCGTGTCTTAAATCGGTGTTGACCGGTCAGCCCGTCGTATCAACAAGATTTCAGACAAAAAATTA